CGCATAGCCCATTCCTGGGAACGGATCCAGTCTTCGCGACGCGCAAGTCGTTGATCTGCAATCTCGAGCAGGTCACTGATCCTGCGAAGTGGGCTCAGTGGGGCTTCGACAAGGAGGATGTCATCAAGCGCGGTGGTAGGGTTTGGGCCTGGCGTTATGGTTTCGTCCTTGCGACGGTCGATGAGGTAAAGCAGGAGAGGGAGAAGCGTCTTGCTGCGGCCTCCAAGCTGTGAGTTGCTGCCAGGGTGAAATCCTTGTCGTACAGAACGCGTCGCAATGAGATCAGATAGAGTTACAGTCCCCAATTATAGAAGAAGTCGTCGCCGCGTAGTACATTGTTATAATCATCAAGAACAAGCAGGCCCTGGCGCTCAATGAACCTTGTCGACGTTCGATGCATACAGCAACTCGTGCAGAATTCAGCAAACACAGGCCGCGAGATCCGTAATCCCGTATCAGAGAACCAATCTAAGAGAACCATGCGACAGTTCGCAGCGCTCTGAGAGGTTCAGCAGCATATCGATTGAAAGCAAGCCACGGTTCTGCCGATGTTAGCGCATAGGTGCAATCTGGGCCACTCCTCGAGACATGCTACTGCGACCGGAGAAGCTCATGCGCCCAGGGCGCATGGGAAAATCTTTGGATAGCAGTAGTCCATTGGGCGTCAAGTACGGGTCTGTACGGGTCGCCGAACGGCCAGAAGTAGGGCCGAGCTGTAGATTTTCGGCGAGGTATCGGCGGCTAGCAAATAGCAGACGCGAGCGCTCATCGTGGTGAAAGTCCAACGCGTGCGGCTGCACGGACCGGCAGCAAGCCATGAGATCAAACTTGAGACAAGTTCCCCGCACTGCGTGTCGCGCCCACCCCACAAGTTGCCTCCCCCCACCACCGCCCAAAGCCACAGATGGCCGGTACACTTTGTCTGTCTTTTCTCATACGATGCTGACCGCAACTTAGACGATGCCTCCACCACCGACACCGATCAATGGCAACCAGCACGTAAATCAACCCGCGACAGACGCTCATGCTCTTCATGAGCGCCAGCATCTTCCCGTCGATCCTCACTTGCACGGCCTTCGTATAGCTTTGGGGACCATACTCTCTCCCGTCAGTGCCGAAACAGGGCACCGTCGTTCATGTTGGCTGACGCAGAAGTTGCTTAGAAGCGTCCTGGTTTATCTCGAGCCTCCAGCTCCGGGTACAACTCAGGGACCTCATCGCCCATGAACCATCACAGTCACCCACACTCGGGCACACATACACCGTCTGGGGAGCAGCACATGCACGCCTCGCACCCGCATTCGACGCATCTTCATCCCAACGCATCGCACAGCCATGGTCAAGTCCACACGCACTCGCCTCTCATTCACGCTGTACGTATACGCCTATCAAAATGTCTACAAGTCGCTCATCTACGTTCATCAGGCCGGCGATGGTGCTACTTCACCGTCAACAACTCCCGGAGGTACACCTCCAACCTCAATGAGTCCTAACTCTGTAGCTGCGGTTGTCAATGATCCTCGCTTGCCTGCCTCCCAGCGAGCGAACTTTGTCAAGACGCTGCAGGGCAAGAGTGCTTGGGACGCGATGGTTCACGGCTCTTTTGTTTAAAGGTATATGACTAGAGTGACGTAGGTTTCGGTCAGTGAACATTTTTGCACCGTTGCCTTACATTATCCCTTCCTATCCTCTGTACTATCTTGCCACCATGCCTTCGTTCCACCTTCTTCCTCATTTCTTCTTGCCCACGCCTTTCTTGTACATATAATCGTTATTACTTGTCATCGTGGTCTGTAAGATATCGATCTCCTTGGTGTATTGTATCGCTCTCTTTCACGCACTCGCAAGCCTTGTACATGTGCGCACATTGTGAACAGTGTTATATAAGAACAGTCTACTACATCGCTGGATACATCGACATATGTACGCGATTGCGCCATTGCCGCGGTCTAGCTTCAGAAGGTAAACCGGACTGACGTCAAACTGGGTGCGAGAGGTCCTTTGGTGACGCTTGTAGGCGTCACGGCCAAACCCGGACTTTGAAGCCGGAACAGGGACTCGCTTTGAACGTCCATCGCGCCGGCAACATCGACTGCAGCTGCTGCTACTAGTACAGACTAGTACTCGTTGAGAATGACATCTTCTGAGTTTTAATCAGTCGTGATCGTACATTTCGCGCATTATGCCAGTCCGCCAGTCCGCCTGCCGCCTGCTCGACACGAAATCGCCCCGACCACTCAACATCGAATGTTCCTCCCGCCTACGATATGCATGCTTCAGTCTCGGAGCTGTCTGAATTAGCTCTTGGTCTGGCCAAGTATTAGCTCAGTGACTACTTCAAACTCTGTGCCTTGCGTTGCGTTCCCGTTGGCCATACTCCAGGGAAAGTGGCTGGCTTGAGTCGCTTTCAAGCCAGTCCGATGTACACGACGCGACGCAAGACTGACTGAGTTACGTCCGAAGATTGAATACACCTTCCATTGCGACTGTCACCCTACTCTCTAAAACTAATCATGCATGTATGCACTCAGTTTGCCGGCGCTGTTTGCTGTATATACGTAGGCTGACGACTTGCAGCCGTGCTTGTTGCAAGTGCCGACTGGACAGGCATAGAGTTCCGACCCTCTACCTGGCCCTCAGACTAGCCCTCAGAGCATATGCATGCCCATGCATCATGGCTGAAAAGATGTACAGTCTCGACATAGTAAGCTTCCCATTCTTGGTGACGAGTTGCGATGCTCACATATAAGCGCCCACAGTGCCTGACATCATCCCGCCTCGACGACGGCTCCCGCCAGGCCCAGTGCTATGCACTTGCTGCGCGGCTCCTCTCCTCAAGCTCCGACTCCTCGTTGCCCTTGCTCCCAGGTTCCGAGGGTGTATACGCTGGGAAAGGTACGCTCTTGCTCAGGATTGTCCTGCGCCCTACGCTCCACCCATGCACGTCACCTTTCTTCGAACCGAACATATACACTCTTCGTCCGCGCAGGACCCTCCATAACTCTCCCTTGACCTCGCGCTCTTCACGCCCCCTCACGAGACTCACGAAGAAATGTCTTTCTTGTCTAGTGCTGGCAATTCGGTTACGAACGCAGGCTCCTCCATCGGCAAGGGTGTCGGTGATGCGGGCTCCGCCGTTGGGAACGGCGTTGGCGATACAGGTTCTGCCATCGGTAGTGGAGTCGCGAACGTCGGCTCAAGCATATATGATGTAGGCAAAGGCGGTGCCGGTGTCGTTAGCGACGGTGCTCAGGGCGTAGGGAAGGGTGTCTCTGACGGTGGCAATGCTGCCTTCAAGGGTGTTTCGGATGGCGGCAACGCTGCCTTCAAAGGCGTCACTGACGCTGGGACTGCTGTTGGAGGCGGTATCGGGGATGCTGGATCTAAAGGATACAAGGCAGCGTCAGCCGCTGTGGGTTCTGGATTTGAGAACGGGTTCCAGCTTGCGGCAACTCTCTCCAAGACCGGCCTGGATCTGCAGAAGAATGTGGTGGGCAGTGTGGGTGCCATCGGTGGTACAGCTATCGACGGTGTCGTAACTGTGAGTATCACAATGAGCATGTCTCTGATTCGAAGGCTAACGCAATGTATGGTCAGGCTGTGACTATGACTACCGGCGCTGTCTTCGATCCCATCTCGAGTACGCTCAAGTCTATCGAAGGCCTTGAGGGCTTGGGAGAGGGCTTGGACAAGATCAACGGTTTGTCCACGGAGGCTCTTCGCGCCGTCGCCGACACCACGAAGAAAGCCATCAAGCTCGGGACTCGCGTGAGCCTCACATATGTCCCTTCATGTTGCATTCACTGAAGAGAGTGCAGCCACCGACGCTCTTTGACCCCGACGCGGATGGCGTTGTGAACGTACGTACTCGACTCCGTCTCTGTCACTCGGAGTAGTAAGCTAATCTCCGATATAGTTTGACGACACACAGAAGGGTTTCGTACTTCTTGGTCTCCCGGAGCAGCAGGCTCGTACCGCCGCGTATGCGATGCATACAACGTTCACGTGTGTACTCCGATGAACTACGCTATATCCGATACTTACACTTCCTAAAGCTACTCTACTGCGGACTCGTGGCTCTCCATCCCTGGGAAGCAAATGTTGGTGCAAATCGACAACATTCACAAGACACGTTGGGGCCGCAACTGGGGCTCGTATGAGCGCGTTGACTGGGTTAGCGATGCTGATATTGACACGGTCAGTTTGGAACGGTTGATTGGCATGATTTGAGCAGTAGACTGATGAAACGTTAGTTCTTCGGTACTCGTCCTCGTGAGACGTACGCAGAGTACTGGACGGACATGTGAGTGTTGACAGATGATGCATTCGTGGTATCGCACTCTGACGCCTCTTCTAGCAAATCTTACTATGGGACTGCGCTTTTGATCTTCGAGTGGGGCACAACATGGCCATTCGCCGTCCCGAATCTGGGCAGTCTTGACCTATCTTCGCCCATTGTCGGCCAGTTGGGCACGATCATGAGGGTGCGTGAGCTCGGTTAACAAGCGGGGCTCGATACTCATAACATGCAGACGGTTATTCTTCCGACCATCGCTAAGTCGCACGAGCACTCGCGCGAGGTGGCTCAGAAAGAAGGCAAGGAAGTGGAAACCAAGGGCCGCATGCCTACTCCGCCACCGAGTCAAGGAAAGGACGCGGACGCTGTGGAGAAGACTGCATGAACGTGTAGCATTGCAACTGTATCTGTACACCGCTGTAAACTAAGTCTTGGATATTCGGAATGTAAATTGTATTGTATCTATCCGACTCTTCAAAAGAGTGCCATCCGCGCGACTTGAGATTCCCAGAACTCGCACGGCCTTCTAGCAACTGCCAACAATTCGATGTGTAAAAAATACTGGTAGCTCTACCAGGTACACGATGTCTGAAATGGACTGTATGTAAGATCTGGAGGGTTCTGGATTACGTGACCGACACTGCCGCTTCGAGTCTAAGATGTGATAAAGCCCCATAGTATATCAAAACTTCTTAGACGTAATGGCGGGTTGGCGCAATGGTTAGCGTGCCAGTTTCCGGTCTTAGGAACCTGCTGGTGGTTGTGGGTTCGAGTCCCATACTCGTCGTATAGTTTTAGTTTTGCTCGTCTGCCTACTGTACTTAGTACTACACACAGTTCTTTAAGACCAGAAGTTAGAACGGAGGTCGCCACCGGACTAGACAGCGACCGTTTGCTGGAGCCCATTCCCTTCCCCCCCTCCGCAAAAATAACGTCAAATCGGATCGAGATCTTGTCTATGCTGGTTGCGAAGATGGAAGGCCTGCGTGCAAAAGTTCGCGTTGTAGACCCGGATGAAGTGGCGATGTGAGAACTCGGAGCTGCCGCGAGTTGATGGCACGGTCAAATACGGACGGTGCAATTGCCGGGTCCCGTTGGACTTGTATACAATGCTGCATGGTGGCACTAGTACAGTATGCTCGGCATCGTACGGATCTGAGATAGGGTGGCTGACCAGAGTGACCTGCTCGATTGCGTGTCCAAAGTGCCGCGCGTTGCTATTGAAACAATGAAAGTCGTGGGAACACCATGATGTACACACTTGCAGTGCCGTCCTTGCTTTGCACGGACGTTGTCACGGTTGGCGAATGCACAAAGGTACTGTCATATACAGGTAGGACCTGCAGAAATATTTACGGGGGGGGGGGCATGGGCAGAATGTCGTAAAGCACAAAATTGTGTGATCTGGGGTAGATCGCCAAATGTTCATGTTCAAGTTCGGCTACAGATTATCCAAGGGGGTGAGGCTGAAAATGTGGGGATGGTATACGTATGTAGGTAGAGAGATGATGTGGCTGGAAGCATGAGGGTAAATACAGGTGACAGATGTGCGAAGAGATGACGGAAGAAACCTTGGCTGAGAGATTGATTCAGAGAAGAGCGTCCATGGAAAGGGGCGTTGAGCGGACGCGCAACTCGTACTAGTAGCTGCGAAATGATGCTCTCGCTCCAATCACGTCCCGCGCTCAGAAGAGCGGTGCCAACTCAAAAGCGGTAGGCTTCAGAGGAAAGAGCGAGCTGACCATCCCGTCGGCGTCGGCCAAGCCACTGCCATCAAAGGAGGGGAAGTGTCCTGGGTCGCCGGCGGTGACAAGCTCTTCATGTACAGGCGTCGAGGCCCCGATGGTGCTGGTGTTGTCCCAGTGATCACCGGCTGGCGTAGCAGCCTTCGCGGGCACCGATGCTGCAGGACAGGCAGTAGCAATGGGAGTAGCGGAGGACGCGGGCATCTTTTCCATGCTAGCAAACAAGTCGTCGTCTTCTTCTTCGTCCCCCCATTCGTCGAACAAGTCCTCAGATTCGTAGTCAGACTCCTTAGACCGATCCTTCGTCGGCGATGCAGGCACAGAAGCCACCGGCAACAGGGCAGGGGCGACGTTCTCGTTGCGAGCACGCTTCACGGGCTCCAACTTATCACCAGCGTCTGTCGAAGCGCGGCGCTTGCGAGTGGAGGAAGTGACTGGGGCAACAGGAACACGCGGGGCTGTCGCATTCAGGCCAATGACAGGCCCATTCCCAGATGCGACCGTGGGCAGGGAAAGGACTACGCCGAGGTGAGATGGCTGTTTGAAGGAGGGCGCGCTCTCGGTGGACGATGGGATCGGCTTGGAGGTCTGCAGCAAAGTCAGCATTGAGCAAGTGACGGACCTCAGAAGGTCTTACAGTACGTTTGGCGCTTGTGGTAGGCGCGGCTGCATGTTGGGACATGGGCAAAACCTTGGTAGGCAGCTGCGGCAACTTGGCCGGAGTAGAGCGCGATTTTGCGGCCTTCGGCTGGGCGCGACGCTTCGTCGCGGCCGGCTGCTTTGGAACAGGCTGACCTTGTGTCGGCGCTGTATCTTGCGACACAGAGGTAGAGCGAGACTGTTGCGCGGACACCTTCTTCACACCTTTCCCTTTTCCCTCCTCCTTCCTGACGGACTCCACACGACCTGCGCTCAACGCAGCGTCAGCAGTGGAGATAGTCGAGTCCAACGTTGGGCGCCTCGTAAGCTTTCGCGAGGAAACAGCGGATGTGGTGGGAACAGTTGAGCTAGAGTCGTCTTGTACCGTTGGCGTCCCCGTCCTACTGCCAGCCCAGCCTGCTATTTTCTCCAGACAGCGGACCCGATCTTTGCCTGAGTAGCCAGACCCTTGACGCTGGATGCCAGGCCTTCGTTCAGGCGGAGCCGTTTGTTCGTCCTCTGAGTCGGAGATCTCAATGACATCTGCCGGGGTAGGTCGCGACGCATGAGGAATGGTCAGCTGCTTGGACGTCCGACCAAAGGTCAGCCTTCGTACATAAGAGCATTCAGAATAGAACGCACCGAGGATCCCGCCCCGTAGGCCTTCGACGGATGTACAGGATATTGATCGCCGTAAGGACGAGAGACGGAGCGCGGCGCGGCTTGTGGTTGGCGCGTGAGGGCCGATAGTTGCGGCACCAACTTCGGCTCGCCGTGCAGCGTCGGCGACGGAAGATGGCCGTATTGGTTGTACTGTAGCGCCGTAGCGTAGGGAGGCCTCGCGTGCGGTTGGGCGACCATGGCAGGTCCTGCCTGCGGATAGAGAGATGGTGGTGGCGGGTGCTGGTGGTGGTGGTGGTGGTGATACTGGGTCATGTTCGAGGCGTAGTATGGGTGCCGAGGGGGAGGACCAGGTGGCGGAGCGTAGTTGGGAGCTTGATTGAGCGACATGACAGGTAAAGAAGCAAGACAGAGCAAGAAGAGCAAAAGACGTCGTGGTCGTGCTGGGGAGAAAGCCGGTGCGAGGTGTCCAACCGCCTTTTATGTCTCCAAACCACAAGAGAAACTCGGCAAGTCGCGGTGGTTGCAACCTCAAAACCACAACACGAGCTGAGATGTGGTTTAGTGTGCTTATCCCCATTTCGCGTGGTTCGCATGGTCGGAGAGGGCGGTCCGCAACGAATGGGCTTCTATTGTCTGTAAAACATGAATCGGTAGCTTAGCATACACACTCATCGACTCGCACCATCAGGTCCATGAGTACGTAGCGAGTGTACCAGGGTACGCAGCGGGAGTTGAAAAGCTATGGCGCATTGCTAGGCGCTGAGCATCCGCGGCAGTAGCCTTGAACCTTTTGACCGGCAAGCAGTTGGGATCAGGAGTGCGTGCAAAATACGTTAGAACTTGACAATCTAATGACGTATGTTCCACGGCTCGAAGCTCAGAGAGCTACCGGGCAAAACCGCCAGATGCTATCAGTCCTTGCTAAGGTGAAGCTGCTCTATGGTCCAGAGGTCACGAAAGTCTTGAAGCCGACCGTCTGACTGACAGGATTCCTTGACGTCTGACATCACTGGACAGACGCGAGAACTGTTCACGCATAGTGAGGAAGGGCATATGTATTGGGTCATCGAATAGATACTGCATGCTAACAATAAGCCACCTTGCGCATTCGCATGGACGAGACGGGCGCACCTTATACATCTCACACCGGGTATGTCGACACTGAAAGTGAAGGGTGAGACGGAGTAGCGTAAGGCAGGCCCGAGTGTACACGACCAGGTAGAGGCTTGTTGAGGAGTATGGCCTCCGGTTACTTGCGACGGCTATGCCAGCAGGCTACGCTTGTGGTCAATGAGCTCAGAAGAACCAAGGCTTCATCGGAACGGTTTGCGCAACGGCCGAACAGGAGAGCAAGTAGCGCAGAAGTACGAACGACTTCGAGGACAGGATTGGACAGGGATGTCTTGAAGCTTGAAGACGGCTCGAGCGTACGCGCGCGTCGCCCGCGCAGCGCGCAGCGCGCGCTCCCGCTCATCGCTCGCCGGTGTCACACGGCCCTTCCTGAACTCCCATGTCAATCACCTCTTCCCTCCGTCTAATTTTCATCACTTTCGACCTTCGGATTTTCGATTGCCACGTATATTGTTATATATCTTCCTTTACATCCGAGGCTATGCCAACAAAGCTCGTCCGCCCTTGCCAGTCGGCCCGGGCCCTAGGACGAAGATTGGCAACAGTTCAGTCCGGGAAGATGCAAGATGATCGATGATTCATCACCTTCTTGTGTTCCTAAGTTGCGGCTGACCTACAATGACAACGGACGTGCACTGCAGTCTTGTCTTGACATGGCTAGTGAACTACTATAAAGGACGTGTAATGATGGTTGTAAGGCCCCCGTGGTAAATTCATCGCGACCACCAGCCAGATTCCGCGTGTATGCATCGCTGTAACCACCGTATCTCGTCTGTTCAACGCGTCGGACAAGCAACCGGGTAGCTATCTATCTTCGCTGACAGCTTTACGCGACAACGACTTCCGGATATCAGACAGGTATCTGCTTATAAAGGAGGTGCGCGCATCCAACGGATGTATCGTCCGCACCGCACTCACCTTCCCATTTTCTCGATGTCTGTGTCAATAGACAAGACATCTACCCCGCTATCTGAAGCATTCAATATCACTCAGCAAATTTTAGTCCTAAATGCACTGCAAGACTTTGCGTGGCAAACCTTCGCTCCGTCTCTCCTCCTGGAGTGCTTCATTATAGGTCAATCCCCCTTGTCTTGGGTTTACAAAATGTTAAGATACCTCAATTGATAGGCGTCTTGTTTGCATGTGTGCCACTGGGAACATACCTCCTTTGGTATTGTCCATTCTTTGACATAAAATGTGACAATTTTCATGTCTGAGGGATGAATACAGGCTTAGGCCACGCTCAACGGCGCGCGGACGCTTCATTTTGCCGATCTGGATCATCTTCGTGGCGTTCCTCGTTCACTGGGCACTTGCCTTGCACCAAATCAAGTCGTACATTGGGGGCAGGTATGTAGATACTCTCGTCGACATCTTTGTGACGATCTCACCATCATCACGCCTTAAGTGCCCTGAGGCTATCAGCACCGCCTTTACAGAGTTTTCCAACTTTTACCTTTGATAACAATCTATTCAGACCGTTTGATTATGAGAAATACTCGTCTTATCCCCTCATGTGGAGTGTCTGGTTTCCCCTGACAACGGAGACTGTACTAATGGGTGCGTAAGGCTTTTTGTGAAGTCTATCCAGACAATCGACCAACATTTTCCAGGATTGGCTTCCGCACTTTTCGTGATTTCAATGTCT